CTGATACTTAGAGGAGTTTTATACAATCCAGATGAGTGAATTATATGGCTTATCCTGGACTTGGACTGGAAGAAAACAACTGTCTTACTACTGAAATTAAATATGAGAAGTCCAAGCTTAAATTCACACCTTCTAGTGGGTGATTCATTATTATCATTTAATTTCTGAGCATGATTTTCTTTGCTGACATAAGAGGAATATCTCCTCTGATAACCATAGGATAATACCAATGTAAAATGGATTCAGCATAAAATCTCAATTTTCTCTCCTGCAAGGATTGTAAAATTTAGACATGCTTGTGAAATTCTGTGTAGCAATCTGATTACTAAGGTTTTGTGATGAGGTGGTTTGGAAAGGCTTCCTACCTACATGTCCAACCTCTGAGGCAGTGGGAAAAGAAAAATAGTGACATTAAGGGCCACAATATGGTGGCTTTGTGGTAGAAGGAAGATTGTTTGGAGGGAATGTTACAGTTTTTCCCTGTCAGCTGCATCTTTTGCTTTCAGCTATTCAATTTTGTTCAGCAAGATTGCTTCTGGTATAATTGCTGACAATTAAGGGTTCATTTAATGAACAGCTGAGTTTCTTTAATCAGAGATGATGGACTTCCACACACAATACCCGATAATTTGAATGTTGTTAGTCAGTCTATTTAATTTCTTTTAAAAAGTTATCTTTTATTCTCCTGCTAATATGGCTTATGATCTAAATGCATCTATATTACATACTCAGACTGTGAGTTTATTAATTTTAAAAATGTAAGACTATTTTTCTCACAGGCAGTGTTTTCAGTTTAATGATTTCATTCTAAAAGCTGTATCTTTAATGTGAGTTGGCTCAATGAGTGAGAAAAAAGTCTACTCTTTATTTCTTATTGTTACACTTACTGAGATAAACACAAGTAGTTTAATATCACATAGTGGAACTGTATCTAAGGATTTTAATACAAGCTGCTGCTTGAAATGCTGTGTTCTTCTGTTAATGTTGCTTCACTTAAATATTTTCTTAAATGGGTATCTGATGAGGATTTAGATATTCTTTTGATTACTGAAAATCTAGTATTAATAAATTTGATCCTGCTTTTTTTTCAAGTATTGAGTACTAAAGAGAGGTGGCCTGGCATCTCCTTGGTTCTGATACAAATGGGAGACACATTGAATTCATTCTTGAAGACCATGAGGAAGTTAATCATGTACAGATCAGCTGCCAAGGCTAGTCCTCTGAGCCTGAGAGGAGACACCTGTGAGCAAGCACAAGCAGATGCCTGCAGGGGAACCAGGAGGTCCAGGACAGAGCTGGATGTGTGTCTTTAATGCATGCCAACATATATCCTGTAAAGCTCTTCCATACAGTCACAGTTCCCAGGCAGCTGTAGGTTCTCTGCAAGCATCAGACATGATGTGAGCCTAGGGCTGCAGGGATGGGCAGGGCACTCGAGTGTGGGGTGTTGGGGACTACATGCAAGTTCACTTTGCCAGAACTGCTGGTAGCTTTGGAGCAGCCAAGGAGTCACAGAGCAGTTTTGTGTTTTGACTCATGCTTTCCTCAACAGTGCAACTGTAGCTGAGGAGATCTGGGTACCTAAAAGATGCTGATTTGAGAATCTGAATCCGAGTCCCTCCCTCCATTAGTTACACATTTGTAAAGGGGATTAGAGTGTTCTCTCCTTCATAGCATACTGGGAGATAAAGACTTTTAGAACTGAATTACCTCTGGTGTTGCTGAAAATGTGTAAGAAACAAAAAGGAAGCAAATTGTAGAAAGCCTGTTTATAACTAGTGTGTTCACAGTTGTAATTTTGTATGAGGCTTGAAGGCCTTGTGATGTGGATTTTCTTTTATTTCTGATGTTTCTCTTGCAGTTTTCTTAACCAAGTTAAGAACTAGGTTTTTGTTAAGGCGGGTTCAACAAGGTTTTTCACTTGGTTTGGGGGATTTTTTAATATATTTTTTAATTATTTTGATAAAGGGACAAGAAGTTTGCCTTTGTTTTACTTAGCTTTATTTTAAGTAATATTTTATTTTTGGAAGGTTATTTTACAATGTTTACAGGGCAATTCAATTTTTTATTGTGTCATGCCCTTCCAGCCCCTTGGCGGGATGAGAGGTGTGTGTGTGTATTATATAATTTATAATTAAATTATGATGAATCACATACAACGAATACTGCTCATTAAATATTAAAGCCTATCTACAGTCATGGCTGTATAACAGCATGTTCATATGGTGCTACTGAGCAAACTCATTGACTTAGGCTGTGATGAGCCCTCAGTTATAAGAGGAGACTTAGCTCCCTGTCTAGGCAAATGCTATTAAGGAAAATTACTTCTCTTTCCAGAATAGGTTCCCTGTTACTGCCTTCTTCTTTCACACCAGCAATTGAAGATGGAATGAGAGTACAATCTCTCCAAAGAGCAGCTGAGAACAGAGAAGTTGCTGTTGGTAGTTCCCCAGCTCCATAGGGACTGCTATGAGTCCTGGTTCCTTGCTGCCATACCCCTCTCTGGCTGGAAGCTGAGCAGTGTTGGAGGATAGTCTAACAGGAGGGAATGGCCTGGATCTGGACAAGGGGAAAATCTAGAGCAGGTTTTGACAGGCCATTTTTATTACTGGCTTCTGGAATTTGTACAGGGAAATAATTTACCTGCAGAAGTCATTCCAGCATCTGAAACTAATGAACTCCCAAATAAAGCTGGTAAAACAGACAGGAAAAACAATGCAGGGAATGACTGTGCACGGCCAGTTTAGAGCAGTGGTCTGAATGAATTTATTTTTCCAGATTAGTGACAATGAATCTGTGAACAGTAGATATGACACAGAGCCCTCCCAACTCCTCAGATCTTCCAAAATCAGAGGAAACCCCAGTCGACATTATAAGGCAGGAAAGGAAAAAGTAGCCTTTTACCAATATTTTGTGCACTGCTTCGCCTTCCTGGGAGCTTTGACCTATGCGTCTCACTGAAGATAGAGTACAGCAAGGAACAAATGCTGTCACTGTGTGTGATGCAACAGAACTTAACCCTGAAGTCCTCACTTTGCTGTGCTTACTGCCAGCCCAGTAGGCAGATTTTCCTGTGAGTTTTGAAAAAATACTTACTCTGGAGTGGTAATCTTGACTGTCAGAGCGGGTAGATTAAAAGGGGCATGAGAGGCTATAGTAATTGCATTAAAGTCTAATTCTAGTGACTGTTTTACTCCAGTTCTGTGCTTCTCCCAAAGCATTAATAGAAAAAAATTAATAACAGATGATTGGGAGCTTGTTTTAATATTAATTAAATCACACACAAAGGCAAATTTCTCAACCTTTAAAATAACATAAAGAAAATGGACTTAAAATATTTGATCTTAATGGGGAGTGATACATTCATTGGCATTGAGCCTTTGATCTAGTCTCACTTTATACGTACAGCTGTGATGAGAAGATTGAAAATTACTGTAGGTCAGCTTATTCTAATTATTAAATAACAGTGGTCATGAAAATACCAAACTTATTTTCTAGAATTCACTTTTTTAAATGTCAGCAAGTCTGTTTGCTTTTATTAACTTCAAATCAGATATTTCAATAGACCGCTCATAAGTAATCCCAAAGCAACATCCATTTCTGACTTTTTGAGACCATACAAAATATACAGACTAATCAAATTTTCAGATTTCTGCATAATAACTCTCCACATTGATAGTTTAAACCTATTCTAAAATGTTGTTATGATTGACACCTTGCTGTAGAGATAGAAGTCAATTGAATAATATGTTGCAGTCCATTTTATTTGTACTTTAATGTGCTGAAGTTTAGGGGTTTTTCACATTTTGGTTATTTATTAGTCTATTCCTTGGAGAATATCTAGAATAATTTGTTTTAAGTGAGTTGATAATACCCTTTTTTAAATGTATGACAGAATCGTATCCCTTTTTCTTACCATGCCAGGGTATGCCAATAAACTGGTGCTGAATTATCTTGCACTTGTTATTCATAGGACAAACATTGGAAAAGAGCATCTCTTTAAGGTTTACTTAGTATGGAATTTTAATCTCTCAGCTGGAAAAAAACCAATAGAGCAGGAGCTATACTACCAACCAGGAAACCTGACACCATTGCCAGGGTTTTATTTTTGAGACACCACAGTACTCTTGCAGCTACTTTTGGCACTTGCTGTCATTTCTTCAGCTTCAAAGATAAATGTGGGCCTGATTGTGGCATCAGCACCTCAAACATTTGTGGATCAATGTGAGTTCTTCATCTGGAGGAAATAATGGATCAGGACACAGTTTTGAAAATGTATTTGTACTTTCTTACAACTAATAGGATTTTTCCTTTCCAAATCTGTATTGCAAACTTCAGTGAAATCCAGTAGGACTGGACTGTGTTCAGTGCTTAGCAAGTCATTAGTGCTCAGCATATAGTTCAATTGTTGGATATTGATCATCTCAATAAATGCTGGAAATCCTTGGTTTCATACATTTTTTTCTTACTCCCTGCATACAATTTAGAAAAAAACCCTGTCATTTGGAAGCCTGCATGTTTTCAGTTTTCATAGAGCCTTTTTAATCTGCATAGTACAGCCTTTGATGCCTCAGTAACTGACAAAAGAAAAGACTTTATTAAAATACAGAGTAGATGTGACTTGATTGTTTTTCAGATAATTTTTGCTTTCAGAAATTAGAATGGCTGATGTTCACCTGAGCATAAAAAATACAGTTCCCACACACGCAGAGTGCTCATGCACTGTATGTAAATTGATGTATAATGCAACCCACATTAGCTGGGTTGATGATAGCTTCAGTTTCACTGCTGTCAGATTTCTGTAGCTCCTTGAATGAGTTGGCTGGTCTGAATGAATGTTAGCATAATTTATGCAGCTGATAAGTGATTTGAGTGCTTGAGTTATTGATAAAGCACTTTAACATATCATTTTCAGCTTGATGTTATGTGACATCACAGTAGAAGGTAATGTGGCAGTCCCCAGGCTTGATATTAAAGTCAATCTGCTCTGTGGATTTCAGAGGCCAGAGGAAACACAGTGCTGCCTGATACCAGCCCAGCAGACCAGCACCAACCTAGTCAGTCTCATCCTGCATTCCCTGTTGGGCCTCAGGTCAGTATTTTTCCTTTTGACTAATTGAGCTGTGCAATTTGATGAAAAGTAGATAACTGAAATTGATATCTTTGGTCTGTGTAACATAGAAAATGTGATTCTATTTGGCTGCATTTACTGCTACAAAAAGGGAGCATGTATGTATCGTGGATGTTTTAAAAATTGTTTGGAAATATTAGCTTTTTGTATGTTTGTGTTTGGCTTTTTTAATAAAACCTAAGCAGTTTTGTGTATTTAGGAGGCTAAATTATTGGAATTTCTTATATCAGTTATTTTTAAATGCATGTAATAATTTAATATTGCAAAGCTTGTGCAATTTTAATGCAACCTTATTGGCTCTGACAGTTCTGCCTGTCACACACAGCTCTTGCATTAGTACAGGCATTTCATTATCTTTTATGCCAGGTATTTATTTTCTTTAGAGCAAAATGTAGGCACAATAGAATGGCACTGAACAAGATTTTAAAAGATTTCCCTTATCACTTCACAATTTTACCCAAGTTCAGCCATACTCTAAGAAGATACTCAATGTTTTTCCACTTCCCAGGACAGTCTTGGTCCACATATTTTCTGGTAATGGTTAGTGTTTTGTTTTCCACTTTCACCAATCATTATACAACCAGGAAATTTTGGGCAATGTTGGCATTTAGGTACTTGTAGGCTGGCTTAAATTAGGCCTTCTTCATAAACTCTCTTTGGTGCATATGTAATGAATTTTACAGTCTAGATTCAACTGGAATTGCTACCACACTACATGCCTCTATAGCTTACACCTTCAGCCTGTCAAGTTTGTCAAAACTTCCTGTGTTGGTGAAAATGTATGCTTTAAGGTATTGGAAGCAGCACGTCGCTAATGCAACACGAAAGGATCCCAAGCCAGAAAAGTTTTGTGTGTGTGATACCAAGCTATGCACAGTAAAATAGGCTTGCTGTCTGTGTTTTGTTACAGCCATTATTGACAGCCCAACAGTTGGCCTCAGCAGTAGCAGGGGTTATGCCAGGAGGCACTCCAGCCCTGAATCAGCCAATCCTTATTCCTTTCAACATGGCTGGGCAGCTGGGGGGCCAACAAGGACTCGTCCTAACTCTACCTACAGCGAATCTCACCAACATCCAAGGGCTGGTAGCAGCAGCTGCAGCAGGAGGCATCATGACTTTGCCATTGCAAAATCTACAAGGTAAGTCACATTGAGAATTTTTCCTGTAGTTTGTTTGGTTTTGGGTTGTTTGGTTGTTGTTTGGATTTTTTTGCCTGTTTGTTTCACTTTCTCTCTCTTTTGTAGTCCAAATGATCTCTTTTTTTGAAAGTTGCTACTAGGGTTGTTTTTTGAATACTTGAGGGATACTTAAGGAATAAAAATTTGCATTTTTATAAAAATGGATTGGAGGTTGAGGCTTAGAATGGGTTATCCCTGTTCTCCCCTAGTATTCTCTGCTGTTCAATCAACATATCTAACACTGTTAGAAACAGTACTCAATCCAAATGCATATGATATACAATACAGATGTATTTATTTACTACTCCTAATTATGTTGTTTCTCAGAAAGCAGTTGTAGCTGAACAGAACTGCATCAAGTATAGCAAGACAAATGTTAATCAGTATCTCACAATAGAATTGTTCAGTTTTAATGGAAGAGGATGGTAAGGAAGCGGTTGTCCAGTGTGAAAGGGATAAAGGTGTGAGCAGGGAGTATGAAAACGAAGCTTTAGCACTTTCAATTTATTTATATACTTATTTTTATCTCTTGCTGATGTGAATGGTAGGAAAAGTTATCCTCTGACAGAATGGTAACTTTTATAAATGAATGTTCTGCACTGAACCCTAGGTACTTTTCAGTTACTAAATTCTGGTGGTTGCTGCTGATTACCAGATGAATTGTTTGAAGCAAGTCCTACAGGTTGTGAAACAGAGAAAAGGAAGAGACAGCTCATGTGTTGAACAAACTCCCTTACAAACTGCATGCATAGTACTCTCACCTGTTGGAGCAGCTGCTTGCCTTTACCTTGTGCATGTTTTAAAGTTTAATGTCAACAGACCTCTCTTATCATAGTTGTAAATGGTTTTCACTTTAATGTTTAAAATAATGTCTCTTTCATACCATTAAGCTGCACCGAAGAACCTGTCATTCATAAATCATAGATGAAAAGGACACACTAATGCACAAATTTTGCTTGTTTAAAATTTGAGAGTGCATGTAAAGTAGGGAACTGGAGATTAAAAAAATAATGCAAGAACAGGAGCGGGTAAAAGCAGATATAACAAAGTGAAGGGGAAGTGGCTTTTTAGCGTAGGTGTATGATGAAATCTTAATGAAGAAACAGGCATTATAAAAATGTATCCTTCCACTCTGGAGTGCTCCAGGTTACAGTTGCTGGGTATGTAGTATTATAAATAAACATAGGCTCGTGCAGTTCTTATATCATTTATTCACCCCATGTTGCAAAGCTGGAAGGTAGTGATTAAGCCATGCAACCTTTGCTCTTTAATTTAGCCACGGGTGTCTAATTGCTAGCTAAAAGGTGCTGCCAAATAAATTTTGCAAGCAATGACCTTACCAGATGAAAAGGTTTCCTCTATAATCTTTACTAGTAGATAAAAGCAGGGGATGAAATTGCTGGACCATAAGGTGCAGTTCCCTGTCTATGGATGCAGACGCATCTTCCATAAAGTAGCTGAGAGGAATAGAATCCACAAATTCACTCCAGTTGAACTGATGTTTGTGCTCTTCCCTAACCCTTCCCCGAGCTCCTCCAAGCAAATGGCTACGGCCCTCATTATTTGGAAGTAAAGCTGATACACAAGGAAACAAAGTAACTTGGTCAAGGTAACTCTTCAGTTCCCTGAATGGAAGTTCTAAGCTTCTGTGGTTTCTCTACAGCCCACTAACCAATTCACCATTCCGTGAATGAAGCTAGGAGTGAGGTGAGAGTGCTGTCTTTCAAGAGAACGTCTTTAGCTGTGCAGTATCATCAGTTGTATTGAGCATGATTGACTTCTGATCTCTGGTTTTTGTGGTTATTTGAAAGATAATAGTAGAATCTGTGTTCTGTTTTGTACCCAGCACTTCTATAGGTATGCTCATAGAAGCCCATGCTTCAACACAGTTTTAGTAATTCCTGCCTTTTGGGTGATCAGACCATATTCATCAACTTTCATCTCTCTTAAACTTCACTGTGGTCAACCCAGATGATGGGGGAACATGTTTTCTAACCTGTCTTATTACTCCTGTTGTTGTCACGTCTGCTGTCCCTGAATTTCCAGTGCAGTCAAGCACAGATGACTGCAGTTCCTGTGAGCTGGGTCTTCTCCTGTCTTCTTTTTCTTCTCTTATCAGTAAACTTCTAAACGTCTTTATCAAAAACTACTCTGGTTAAGTACCTCAAAAGACACCCTGAAGACTTTTAAAATAATGTATGAATTTAGAAAAGTTCTGATCTAATAGAGTACTTGAATTCATGCTAAGTGTTGATCAAGGGAGTAATCCCATCATATTTTGTGTAATCCACACCTATGTTTAGCTAATTTTCTTGGGGGGGACTTTCAGGTCTGATTCAGGGTGATGAGAGCACAGGGTGATTGGATTAAACAAAAACCCTTGTTTGTGGAAAGAGAAAAGGGCATTCAGTGACAGGAATTATAGAGGAGATAAGTATTTAAAAGTTCAAGACATTAGTAAAATGGAGCAATTAAAGGTATAGAAATTACTCACACAGTATAACTTACTCAGTGAAATTACCTATTCTTCAGTTATCAGTTACTTATAAATAAGACAACTTCTTTTTTTTTTTTTTCCCCCTATGTATTTCTGTTAATTTTTTTTTGTTGCTATATGGTCCTGATCCACCACTAAATCAATAGGAATTTTGTTGCTGTAAGTGAAATGTGGTTTAGACTAAGCCTCTTTCAAAGCTGCTTTTCTTGAGACATAGTTAATTATTTTCTGTTTGTTATGCTGTGTCATTTTCCATGCACACTGCTACATCATACCTGTTCCCTGAGCAAATAAATCAAATGTGTGTGAACAGAAGGAAGGATGGTGAATGTGTAAATTCTTGCTGTGAAACTTACAAAAATATGTTTTCCCTGGCTTCTGCTAAGCAAAGTTTATGTGCACAAGGAATAGGCAAGGAAAACAATTTACTGAGATGCCAGAGGGCTGGTGGCAAAATAGAGCCATCTGCCTCAAGCAGAAATCACTGAACATAACAGATTCACCTATGGAACTTCGGCTTTACACCAACAGTTCTTTGAAAAAAACAATAAAATCAACAATCATAACCTTTTACTGTAATCCATGAAAATTACTGAAGATAAGAGTTTAAAAAGGCTGTTTTCCAAGAAGGCTGTTTTCCCAAGAAATTTACACACCTGTTTTTCCCTCACCATTTTTTAGAATTACAGCTGGAACACAACCATGCTTTCCTAAACAACAAACCTTTTGGAAGTGTCACATTCTCAGTGGTGAGGATGTGAGAAGGAAAAGAGTAAGGCAGATACCCTACAACACAATGTATTGCCTGTCTGTTGCTTTTAGTTCCTTGCTTCTTGGCCTGTCCTTATTGACTTAATGCCGAAAACACTATGTCAGCTTTCCTCTTGTTGTCCAAACTTGTGTTCATCAATCAGTAATCAACTTTCTGTCTTCAAGAAACTTTTTTCTGGGCTGAACAGTTTCAGTTTCTCTATCTCCTTTGCCAGGTCAGATTTTTCTAGGTTTTTGGAGGGGAGTCTGTTCTTTTTATAAAAAATTTTAATTATCCTTCTCAAGAGTCTCTTCAAGGGTCTAGCAGTTACTTAATCTCAGAATATTCAGCAATGCCTGGAGCTTATTCATGAAAAGACATTCTTGCCTTAAGCCTTTCTGATTTTTATGTCTCAGTGTAATATTTCTGTATATATGAACAGAAAGATACTTGGGGGGTGAGGGGGATGTGTGCTGAATTTGTTCTGTCTTGTTTTCTTAATCTAATTTTGACCCTCTTGATATCACATTGAAATCACTGAGAAATGGGAAGGTATTCCAGTGCTCAGGAGTTGCTAAACGTGGTCCTCTCATTTTGTTCACTTTTTCATGACAGCGAGTGCAGTTTTAGCTAAAAAGCTAATATATTTTAGCTATCTTTTCAGTATATTACAGATGTTCAAAATCAGAAGAAACTAGTGCTGTGTTTCCTACCAGCTCACTGCTGGCCAGTCACATGCCACAGATAACAATTTGATAGTCTCCCTGCAAAGGACTGGCCTGAATATATTAAATCACGTAAGAGTGGCACCACAGTGTTTTAGATATCTCCACTGATGCAGAGCTTGAATGACACTTGAACCTTGAAAGAAACCAACAAGTTGGAGATTCTAGCCTCATGGCACCGATATTTTATATATTTTATTTCCACTACATATTGTACTCTTCCTAAGTGGGTATCAATAATTTATTTCCAAGCCAAAGTTTCTCATTCTTGACTTCTGAAAGAAGTGAGAACAAACCATCTCCCCAAATCATTAGTGAAAGTCTTCAGTGCTGAAAAGATGCCTTGCATGGCTGAAAATGTGAAATAATTAAATTACATTATTTGAACAGCAGGAGATCACATTTTGGTTCAGTACAGTGGAAGGGGAAATGTATTAAATACCTTGAGAGCTAGGAGACAGCCATTAAAGTGCACTGGTATGGGTAACAATAGATGTAGATGATGGTAAATAAATGAAAAAGGCTTTTATTTTGTGGAGATCAGTCAAAATGAATGTTGGGTAAAGACAGTGTTAACAAAAAGGAAGGAAGTATTGTTTACATTTATTAGATCTTGTTTTTTCTGGACACAAACTTGTGTCATTAATTGTGCAGCAGATAAAGTAAACATGCTCATCCTCCATGTACACACACCTTTAAAATAAAAAATCAGAGAGAGATGAAAAACAAAAAAGAGACAGAAAAGAAGTAAACTACAAACCTCAATTGCTTGCTGATCTAGAGTCCAAATTCCAGTATTTCAGAACATTTTCCTCTTTTAACTAAAGTGATGCAGTCCCTATTCATTTGTATTCCCCTTCAAGTAACATGAAATAGCTTTCAGAGTCTACAGAAAGGCAGTGTTTCACTTATGTATTTTAATGAGCACCAATGTCAGTAATAATCAAAATGATGTTTCACTTAGAGGAATAGTTTATTCCCAGGTACT